GCTCAAGTCTATAGTTCCTAGAGTATGACAGGTTCTGCTCTTGCCTTGTCTGCGATTGATTCCATGTACCGTAGATATATGTGATTCCATCGTTTGTAGAAGTGCTTGGGAGACTGAAAAAGGAGGCAGGGAGAGGTGATTGTCAGAATCGTAAACATAATCTAATTACAAAAAGCACGAACAAACAAGTCGGTACTTCAATCGTGTATCGACCCAGAAAATTTTGAAAATTCAATCTAGAGAGAGGGTTTGGAATACACCATTGACGATTCTGGTTATGAGTGCAAGATTCAGTTAAGCCAATCCATGATCTCTTCGTAGAATCTGCTGACTGTGCTGTTTCCATGTATGGAATTGTACTACGGTGCCCTTACCGAGCGTGGCCACGCGTCTCTGTGTAACATTCAAGGGATCGATGATGGCGGGTATTTACGGTCGAGGCGGGAATGGAGTCCGTCTCTGGTGGATCGTGGTGTGATATGGCCGCTGATAGTCGACTTTATGTCATTCTTAGATTTCCAGATCATTTTATAAAAGCACGCATACTTCCTTGATTCTTATTGGTTATTTGCACACGATGAAAGGCATCTGAATACGCTATAAAGTGCAGAGAGCGTTCGACGTTTTAATAGCTTGAACAATCTGGTAAGTTTATGAAACTTAGAAACGATATCAGTACCTTGTCCATTAATGGTTCCTGTGCAAGTTTATGACCCCCCCCCCCCTTAGATTTGCCTATATTTGAAATTTTCATCAGAAAACCCGGACTGAATTGTGTTTTATTCATTTTAGTATTTGGGTCTCCTTTTCCCGCCCGCCCGTGCGACAATTAATTTGTTTTTTTAATTGGGTAAGGTTTCATTAGTAAGATGCATTACCATGTAAAATAAACGTATGTGTATTGAAATAAAATATATATATATGTACCCCCATAAGCCTAAAACGTCCATCACCATAGCTATACAGTGTAATTATTAATAGTTTACCCCGGTTTGTTTTTTTAACTTACTGTATGTCAGATCCCTATCAGGATTTTGCATCTGGATTCGAGTCATATATACTGATGATGTATGTCATTTGCCGACATGGAGTGAAATGATCATTTTTTCCTCGTAATTTGACTTAATCACCAATAACCTTAGACCGCTACAGACTCGCTCACTCGTGTGAGGAGAGGCTGCAGCCCTGGCACTACAACTAGTTGCATCACTTACCGCCATCGATCGGTTGCTGATGCTGGGTGTCAGTCAGTGATGCAGATGTTGAGAAAAAAGAAGAGCGGGAGGGGGATTTGTTGTCACTGTGCACTAACATGGCGCCACAATCGCTGTCGTTTTGTGACTCACGTGGCAATATATCATCCAAGCCCGATGCAAGCTTTTTACCGAGTCAGATTCAAGAACATTTAGATTTATATTCCAACGGCCAAGGTTCAAAATACATGAGACTATTTTGATATAATTACTAAAAAAATCGACATGTCATTCTGTCCATTATATTAAGTGGTATTCTTGCTGATACATGGACACAGTTCGGGGTATAGATATTTTATCTCGTATTGCATACTATATGCTATTCATTTGAATACAAATCATGGAATCAAGTTCATGTTGTACCGTGGTTGAGTCAGCATACAGACTCATCAATTTATCAGAATGACCTCTTTACTTGGAAATTGAATAAAACTTGACACTGATATTTTTATCGTTCAGGGAACGATTCCAGGGACATCAAATTGAAGGATAGGCTATTCCTTTTTGTGAACTGACCGACAAATTGAGTATTGGCCGTCAGTTTACGGTGCGGCAAGCAATGGCGTATTTATCAACGTTAACCCCTGTCTCCGGTTTGGAAAATGCCTGCCAGTACTAGCGCATTTTTTGTGTTACTGCATCAGCCCTTCTGGAGTTCGGAGGTCCGGGGTTCGAACCTCGACCGCGGTATGACCGTGCATTTATCTTCTGCTTACTGTCATTCAAGTGGTGCCAGTGACGAACCTTTTTTCCCCAGATACTGTGTAGAGGAGATTTAGTTAATCAACTAAATCAACCTTCATATCACACAAACAAAGAGCAGACCATGAAATCTGTCCATATGGATGTCATCAATATGCATCGGAACGTCACTCGTGATCATTGGGCAGTAATTAAAGTCGTTCTGGACAGAATGGCATTTGTTGAAATATCATTTAAAAGAGAAATCCCATGCCTTTCATTAAATTATAACAAAAGGGCAATCCCCTCCGTATTTGAAGAATTATTTAACTTTTCTGTCGGGTGATTAAATGGCCGAATGTGACCCGGCCTGGGCCAAGTTCGGACGGGCAGTCAGGGGTAAGTTCGGCCCACGTTGAAATCAGCGTAAGTATGACGTAATAACGTCAGATTTTCCCGCCAATTTCATGACTTTCCATGCGTTGCATGGGCCGAACCTGTCCCAAATTGACATTTCAATAAATTCGTATATATAACAGCAATACGAAAGTCGATGTATACCATCATGTGAAGCAGTCAGCGGGTTACAGGTATGGCATAAATAATTATAAGTAGCCTTTTGGTTTTCAGAAAGATCGCAAAACATATAGAAAAAAGTGAGATCATATGATTTTCTTTCAAGTCTAACCTTTTCACGTTAGTAATTTATAACTGAGTTTTCCTCATCATTTTTGTTTTTTGTTTGAGCTAGTGTCCCGCCCAGTACGCTGCACTGCTCAAGACTCAAGATAAAAAATATCCGCAGGGTTGGCCTTAATAACCCCGGGGCCTAATTAGTTGACCAGTCTCCTCGATCTTCGCTTGGTAATGACATACCGGGCCGCATATCTGGGATGAAGTTTGATAAAAATGAGGAAGGGTTTGTTCAATAGAGCAGGGACCTGAATAGAGCTTCCGTTTACAGCTCGGGGGTTATGGGTTCGAACCAGCTCTTGCCATGCATTTTCCGTCTTTTCGTACAACTCGTTTCGCTTGTAAAAGAACAATGGTTTCATTTCAATCGCACTTGAGAACAGATAACTATACACGACTTTCGATATAACCAAGCTTTGATTTAATTGAAATCGACACTTCCGTAAACGGGGAAAACGGAACGGAACGGAACGGTTCTCGATTGCGTCTATGGTCAACGCACCGTGCAATCGGGAACCGTCGGCACTTTCCGTAAACGAGAAGTATTTTCTCGTTTACGGAAAGTGCCGACGGTTCCCGATTGCGCACCGTGCTACTGCAGTGGTTTCACATATTGTCCCGCGCTTCCGTGTGCCGTCATAATTTATCTCCTCTTCGAAGAGTTATATTCTGACACAACAGATACACGTGGAACCTGAAATGGAATCACACTTTGGTACGACAGGGAGTAGGTCTGAGCTTGCAATAATGTACATAGATATCTTCATTACCCTGCTGAGATCTGAAATGTGTTCTTCAATTTTAGATTTACAATTAGAAGCACGGAATTAGATTCCGTGGTAGTAGCCTAGACATTCCGCACAACATCTCCATCAACAGGGGTTCGTTACAAACGTCTGAAATACACATATGCAATTTACTGATACATATCAGTATAGCACATATGTGTAGTTTGAACAGACATTTGTAACAAGCTCCTGTGCACCATCTCCACAAACTGCCCACAGTCACAGGAATATACTAGTACAATGAGTTAATGACAACTTGTTTTAAAATCATCAAATATGGCAAAAGAAGTTTTGATATTTATCTGTTTATATATTCATTTAATTACAGAATATTCAGCTTTTCAAATGTTGTTTCAAATAGGAATTAAGCACTTGAAAGTGAGAGAGCACCCCCCCCCCCCCCCCCCCCCCCCCTCCAACCATGGATTTTGTTTTTGTGTCTTTTAATTTCCCAGCACAGGTACTTGAGAATTTGTTAAAGCTATATTTGAACCTAAACTAATTAAATATATAAGGTGTTCAGAGTAATTTTACACGTTTTAGGGGTTGAGATCGACTTTCATTAAAAAATACCACCCCTACTTTGTTTCCAGTACATAGATATATTAAAAACCACTGTTAAATGTACGTAAATAACCCCCTGCAGAATTGGGGATTTGCTTTGGTGTCCTTCACTGGGGGACACAAAAGTGACCAAACTAAATCTGCTGCACCCATTGCAATATTTGTGATCTTTATATAGGTTTCTAGGACATATCTCTGCCAATGTCCTATATATGGACATATCACACTTATGTAGTATGTAGGTATATTTTAAAAAGGTGTCATGTCATGTAATGAGAATGGAAATTGACTGAGACCTCTGTTTGACTTTTCACTTTTACCTCACATACCAAAATACAAGTTTCTGAGCAAGACATTTTGCGTGTTACATTTTCATGCATCATGGTTCTGGGTGGGGACTCGTCTGACACAACTATCCACGCTGTGTCATATAAAAACATTCAGGTTGTAGGGGTATCCAATAATAGTGGAGGCTTCAAGTTAATTAATCTAGATGCTATAAGGTTTGGAAAATGAGTATAATCATAGCGTAAATGTATACATGATGTATTCACTTGTTTAACAAATTACCAAAAACTTGTGAGAACTCATCTGTCAGTAGACTTAATGTTGCTTAATTTTTCTTTTAATGAATGATCAAAGAATAAATTAGCCAAATTAGCCAATGAACTTTTAATTGTCCCATCAAAACCACCAACCAATTAAGAGAACGATTGCTAGAGGGATACTAAACCTACAAATGAGAGAAAATCTGAAAAAGTCTTGAAAATTGGCGGGAGTTTGTGTAATTGGGGGATGGCGTATTCCTGCAACACAACACTGAATAGGATTTGAGTTTTGACATGAAATAATAAGAATTTGAAATAAAGACAATCTGGAAAATTGAAAAATATAGCATTGCTTTTTGCAGCTTTTCTTATCTAGTCACTGATTGTTATTATTAGAGATGTTTGATGCCTTGTAATATATTTTTTAGAATTTGTTCCTTCCGAAGGATTTATTTTTATATTTATGTTTGCAGATTCCTAGACAGTAATCCTGATAAGCCACTAATCTCTATTTTCCGTGATACATCGTCAACAAGTTGATTAAAGTTAAGGTAAGACATCATATTTTACAAATAAAATGACATGTGATCAATTCAAGTATTATTTTAGGCTACAGGTATATCCTGCACAAAAAAATGTGCATCAGGTAAATGTGAAATGCAGAGAGAAATCCAGCCAAAGTGATTTTTGTTTTGTTTTGTTTTCAAATTCACTGAATGATGCTTATAAGTGTAGCAGATTGATGAATAGGATTTCGGTCATCTTTGAGCTAGAGGGATTTTCCCTTTAGCTCAATCTGTAGAGAGGTACACTGGGAAGCTGTGGGTCATGGTTCGAACCCTGGTAGCACACTACTCGCTTTCCTCTTATGAGAATTATTTGTCTTTGTGATAACATGTATATGATTTGATATTACAGCATATACATATATATGAAACAATACATGTACGGAAAAAGTCTTCATATATATATAAGAGAAAGACTCTTAATTTTTCACACTCATATTTTTATCTGAAACGATGAATCCCTATTTACGGGGATTCAAAAGGTTTCTTCCTGATGGCGTTTCACTGTATTTAGGGATGTAGGGGGACTAAAGTCCTGCGTTAATGAAATCCACAAAATGTACGTCTTCACACTAGACCTATTTAAGTTTGCATAACTAATGATATTGATAAAAGACAAGAGCAAAAAAAAAAAGAGTTTAATACAAGGCATTTCAAAGTTTTGCTTTCTTTTAATAAGAACACTTTTAAAAATCAGTAAGGGAATTAAGCCATCCTCTCAAAGCTACTTTCGTGAGGGATTTGGTTGGTGAAAAGGTAAATTCTTTTAATCTTGCATTTTGTAAAAATTCAAGTTATCCAATGTACAGAACAGCTTACATTGTGATATTTTTTACTTTTATTTTGTCAAAAGGTGGCCAGATATGGATTTTTTTTAGATATTAAAAGATTTTGCCTCATAGCTTCTTTCAAATGAAAAAAATAGAAAAGTTGGCATGTATATGAAACTGGGAAAAGTGTTGTCAACTTTTCCTGTTAAAACCTTTCTCTGGTAAGTAGGCCTATACTGTACCTTGTAAACCTGTGTTGGATTGTTGATCAATGATTAAGTAGGTATGGTAAACAATACCAGCTTTCTCTATCCTTCGTACTGATAAGGAATGGTGTGTACAATACGATATGTACCTAAAGGCCTTTGAACCTACAGGAATCAAAGAAGATTTCTTTCAGCATCTGATCGGCTCCTTAATTTATATGCACCCAGTACCTGAATCCGTCCACATGACTTCCAGTGTTAAATCTGTATTGCCTTCTGCCACGATATCGAGAAGTCCTGTTATTGATTCAGGTCTGGGACGATCGTAAAAGTAAATTGGTTCTATTTGCATGTATTGTCCACCTGACAACACACATGATATGTCTTTAATGTGGATGACTTTTCAAACTGGTAGTTTTCATATTTTTTAACCTGGTATTATGAATTAAGGTCTCAGTCATTTTGCTTATTAAAAAAGAATATTCACCTCCACTGTTTTTATAATTCTTAATAAGGAAGTTGGAATAAAAAACCACAAGGAGTATGTTATTTCCCTGCTAGAAATCTTTAACTGCTCCTATTGTATCCATTAAAGTGTGATTATAAACAGGGCAATTAAATCTATGACTGAAAAAAAGGGAAGTTTGGAGTATAAGTGATTGTCCATCTATACATTATTTAGATGTAGGTGTAGAAATTGAGTTATTCCCCTTACTTCATAAATGTATACATGTATTAGGTGAGTTGTACATGTATAACAGCACAGCCAAACTTCAGCAACAGTTGGGAATATGAATATTTTGGAGAAAACGATTCATACAGATTCTGTAAAGAATTTGTAGTTTTTAAATTGTGTCTTAATAACTAGTTAAATAAATAGGTCAAAGCAAAAATAGGACATTTATAATATGAAATGTTCCCATGTTTCTAAATTATTATTTCCAGGATAGGGTATGTCTTGTGTTTAATATACTTGATATTGAAATATTTTGTATATGTTTGGACAAACTTAAATATTTTTGTTCCCATTTCATATAAGGCATTTTTAATTCTAAAGAAACTGTCAGAGGAAAACAAATGATACATTTTGATGGATCTTTGTAAGGCCAACGACAAAATACGAAAAAGTTACCTGATTGAGAAACCAAAATATTCAGACTAAAGTTCATTGTATACAGAAACCTACTTAACCTGACTAATATGGCTATGTTGTATACAGAAATGTAAAACATCCGGACTTATAAGGTTATATTGTATAGAGAAACCAAAATGTTTGATGTAGTTGTGTTATGTAGAAATGAAAGTTCTGTTGTATACGGAAATAAAAATGGTCAATGTGGTTCTGTTGTATAGAGAAACCAAAATGGTCAATGTGGTTGTGTTGTATAGAGAAACCAAAATAATCAATGTGGTTCTGTTGTATAGAGAAACCAAAATGGTCAATGTGGTACTGTTGTATAGTGAAACCAAAATGGTCAATGTTGTTCTGTTGTATAGAGAAACCAAAATGGTCAATGTTGTTCTGTTGTATAGAGAAACCAAAATGGTCAATGTGGTTCTGTTGTATAGAGAAACCAAAATGTTCGATGTAGTTGTGTTATATAGAAATGAAAGTTCTGTTGTATACGGAAATGAAAATGGTCAATGTTGTTCTGTTGTATAGAGAAACCAAAATGGTCAAGGTGGTTCTGTTGTATAGAGAAACGAAATGGTCAATGTGGTTCTGTTGTGTAGTGAACCCAAAATGGTCAATGTGGTTCTGTTGTATGGAGAAACCAAAATGTGAATGTGGTTCTGTTGTATAGAGCAACCAAAATGTGAATGTGGTTCTGTTGTATAGAGCAACCAAAATGTGAATGTGGTTCTGTTGTATAGAGAAACCAAATTAGTCAATGTGGTATTGTTGTATAGTGAAACCAAAATTGTCAATGTTGTTCTGTTGTATAGAAACCAAAATGGTCAATGTGGATCTGTTGTATAGAGAAACCAAAATGGTCAATGTTGTTCTGTTGTATAGAGAAACCAAATTGGTCAATGTGGTATTGTTGTATAGTGAAACCAAAATGGTCAATGTGGTTCTGTTGTATAGAGAAACCAAAATGGTCAATGTGGTTCTGTTGTATAGAGAAACCAAAATGGTCAATGTGGTTCTGTTGTATAGAGAAACCAAAATGGTCAATGTGGTTCTGTTGTATAGAGAAACCAAAATGGTCAATGTGGTTCTGTTGTATAGAGAAACCAAAATGGTCAATGTGGTTCTGTTGTATAGAGAAACCAAAATGGTCAATGTGGTTCTGTTGTATAGTGAAACCAAAATGGTCAATGTTGTTCTGTTGTATAGAGAAACCAAAATGGTCAATGTGGTTCTGTTGTATAGAGAAACCAAAATGTTTGATGTAGTTGTGTTATGTAGAAATGAAAGTTCTGTTGTATACGGAAATGAAAATGGTCAATGTGGTTCTGTTGTATAGAGAAACCAAAATGGTCAATGTTGTTCTGTTGTATAGAGAAACCAAATTGGTCAATGTGGTATTGTTGTATAGTGAAACCAAAATGGTCAATGTGGTTCTGTTGTATAAAGAAACCTAAATGTGAATGTGGTTCTGTTGTATAGAGAAACCAAAATGGTCAATGTTGTTCTGTTGTATAGAGAAACCAAAATGGTAAATGTTGTTCTGTTGTATAGAGAAACCAAAATGGACAATGTGGTTCTGTTGTGTAGTGAAACCAAAATGGTCAATGTGGTTCTATTGTATAGAGAAACCAAAATGTGAATGTGGTTCTGTTGTATAGAGAAACCAAAATGGTCAATGTTGTTCTGTTGTATAGAGAAACCAAAATGGTCAATGTGGTTCTGTTGTATAGAGAAACCAAAATGTGAATGTTGTTCTGTTGTATAGTGAAACCAAAATGTGAATGTTGTTCTGTTGTATAGAGAAACCAAAATGGTCAATGTTGTTCCGTTGTATAGAGAAACCAAAATGGTCAATGTTGTTCTGTTGTATAGTGAAACCAAAATAATCAATGTGGTTCTGTTGTATAGAGAAACCAAAATGGTCAATGTTGATCTGTTGTTTAGTGAAACCAAAATGGTCAATGTGGTTCCCAAAATGGTCAATGTTGTTCTGTTGTATAGTGAAACCAAATTGGTCAATGTTGTTCTGTTGTATAGTGAAGCCAAAATGGTCAATGTGGTTCTGTTGTTTAGAGAAACCAAAATGGTCAATGGGTCAATGTGGTTCTGTTGTATAAAGAAACCTAAATGTGAATGTGGTTCTGTTGTATAGATAAACCAAAATGGTCAATGTGGTTCCCAAAATGGTCAATGTTGTTCTGTTGTATAGAGAAACCAAAATGGTCAATGTGGTTCTGTTGTATATTGAAACCAAAATGGTCAATGTTGATCTGTTGTTTAGTGAAACCAAAATGGTCAATGTGGTTCTGTTGTATAGAGAAACCAAAATGGTCAATGTGGTTCTGTTGTATAGAGAAACCAAAATGGTCAATGTGGTTGTGTTGTATACAGAGGGTTCTACTGTTTACAGAAAGCCAAATGTGCAGAATAATAAAGTTTTCACCTGTTCAGAATCCCTAAATGTCGAACTAACATGGCTGCACGACATACAGAAATCCAATTTTTTACCAGTTTTGTATCAAAACAGAAACATAAATATCAATGCTAACAAGGTTATAATGTATAAATACAGGAGACCATGTTTCTAATTTATATCTACCTCAAGATATTACAAAACCTTTCATTAGGCCAAACTTTGGCTGCACATTTATTGGTACAAAGTGAACATGTATTATGAAAAAGGATTTTGGATACCTAAAAGCGGAACGTAAATGTCACGGAAAAACAAGTTCCCATATGATACAGATTTCCTCTGTAAACCAGTCGACACAGACAGCTAAAACCATGGTATCAGACATCAGGTGTAATTAGGAGTTATCTGTACTCGTCCCAAGAAATTAAACATTGCGAGATGTACATACATCTTTTTTTTGC